CCCCAAAACCCCAAAACCCCAAAACCCCTGAAATAAATGTTTAATTTTGAGATTAATTTGAAATTTAATAACTTCGAATAAAATATTATATAAACATCAAACAATGAATGAAAGAGACCTTCAAAGACAAGCGTTATGTAATATTAAATTTCTCTAATTTCTATATACTCAACTGTAAATCGAATATTTTAGTTTAATATGGACTCGATTTAAGATGACAAATTTAGCTAGATTAAAGAGGAATAGATACTAACAGAGAGTCTAGAGTGCTGAATCTGGTAAAATCTTTAGCAGTGGTTCCAAAATGATCATCATCAACAAGAAACTTAATTACTTAAAGCTAATCAGCTAGGGACCCTATAAAATCTGTTGAAAGACCTTAAATAGATCAATTTACTGCTTAATTTGATCCTCATCGTTAGATTTATGCTCATATTGATCACTCTAAGCGTTATGCTTATTTTGTGAAGTACTTGCCTCAAAATAAGCTATAAAAAGATATCATGAATATTAAGCAGAATTTCCCCCTTCAAAAAATTAACGAGATAAGTCTCTAAATAGTTGATGAACTGCTATAAAATCCTTAAACAGATGTTATTTTGATCAGTGAACTTAGCAATTTAGATTAGAAAGTTAAAAAATATCAAGATTCAGCAGAAAAAGAAAGACTAAGATGCACTAACTTCAATTATAAAAAAATTAAAATAAATAAAAGAAAGTTGAGCTCACAGATGTAACTTCATCATATTCAATAACAGGGATAGACAGAATTCTAGAAATTGTTTCGATAAAATATCACTAATATGAACTTTAATCCAGTTCTTCTCAGCTGTCTGGTAAGTTTGATATTTTACTTAATTAAATTATTTTTCCCCTTTTGGCAATTCCTAAATCTATTTATAGGAGCAGAGAATATAGGTGCAGAGTAAATTGGAAGTAATCAATAATAAGCTCGAGAAAAATCTAGAAAATACTGCTTAGATTAAGGATGGAATCAGATTAATAGAGAAAGAAGTAACTGATATGAAAGGAAAAATCTAGTTTTTGAAAAATATTTTGCGAAGATTTTATGATGCAGTCTTGAGACTATCAATTACAGATAGAGAAAAAAATAGAATCTAAAAGTTGCTTTTGTAATTCAAGATAGAGCCTTTAGTGGATTATGATATTGATTTGTAACCAAAATCTTAGATTAATGCAACTAAAAATATTGAGCAAAAAGAATTAAAGAAAAGTAGTGATTATTACCAAATTACGAGTCCAAGTGGTTATGAAGTAAACAATATGCAAGAACTATTAGTCGATGATTCTTCATATTAGGTTTCGAGACCAAAGATATTTATGAAATCGAGAGAGTCAAACTAAAGTAGCCCATAGGTGAGAGATATCAGATTATCAGATTAATTTCTAAGTTCTAGAAATCCCTTAAATAACAACAATCAGACTCTATCACCTCACATTATAGGTAAATCAAGAAATACCTTCTGTAATACTTCATAAGGAGTTAGAGTAATGTTCAAATCTGCTAACCTACTATGAAAATTATAGCCACTTAATTTTAAATTATAATATTTCATTTAATAAATAATGCAATCTCACCTATGGGGTTTTGGGGTTTTGGGGTTTTGGGG